ACTGGGTTAGTCCTCTCAGGCTCTATACTTGGGACCCAGGATCTCCATCAGAGAATCATTTAGGGTTACTGTGAAAACAGCCTGCTTATTTGAGAAGATAGGTTTCAGAACTAGATCATTGCTATTCAGGCAGTCTTGAGGGTTACTGGTTCACGAAGAGATGATTACAGAAGTTCTACAGAAATTTGACACTGTTGTGACATCCAAACACATGATCAGTGGACTTCTTACTGAACAGGATTTGAAACAAAACTTATCATTCTGTAATAGATTGGCAATTTAAATAAAAAATTATCCACCATGGATAGTTTCCGAAGCACTGTTGTATGGAATTCTAATTTTCTTTCTAACCACCGAACAACATGATTCCTGAATGCATTTGGGAGTACAATAAACACCAATTAATTTGATTTATAAAGGGCTTTATGAGATATTCATTGAACTAAAAGAGTAGTGACACTACTATTTAAAAATAGTCCTTTTATCTGTTCATCCCTTTATTAGGTCTTTGATTCAGTACATTTTCATTGTTGCCGATCATGTGTCTGTGAGTAAGAGCAGCCCAGTCCCTGCCTTATGAGGTAATGAGGCTTTCGCAATGTGGAATGCTTAAGTTTGCAATGCAGGGAGGGTAGGCTGCTCAGGGGGCATCAGGGAGGAGCAGCAGGCTTGAGAGGTCAGAAGAATCTAAACTAAGGAGTTGTTGGAAAGCTAATAATTCACAAATGGTAAAAATAACTCAGTTCACTCCTTACAGATTACGACACAGATCTCTTTTGACTGCTTACGCTGTGCTCCCGTGATGCTATGTACTATTCTGTATATGAGGGTACACTTGTGGGTGAAACAGACAGTCTTTGTCATGCCCTAGTTCAAGGAAACCCATGCCCAGCCGAGAGGGTGCCAATGTGGATGAACCCCCCGGGGGACATGAAGCAGGGTCCGTGGTGAGTCTGAGTGTGCATGGAGGAACATGTTGCTGAAGTTCATCAGAGGGGCTGTCTCTTAGGAGGGACTCTGAGCTCAAATTCAGAGGACCTAGGGGACAGCTGAGAACATGGGAAGGGATGAGCAAGCACAAGTATGAAGGTTGGCATGTCCCTGGGTACAAACTGCCTCTGTCCATTCTGTGCTGCGATAGCAGAACAGCACAGACCAGGTAATACATAAAGAAGAGAAAGTTAGTTTCTCACGGTTCTGAAGGCTAGGAAGTCCAAGATCAGGGTGCTGTTCTGGTGAAGGCCCATTCTTTTACTTTTCCAAGATGATGCCTTGAATCCATCGTGGGCTCTGTTCTTGACATGGCAGGGGAGAGGAAGGGCAGAGAGAGGAAGAGCCACTCTAGAATCCCCTTTTCAAAGGCACTAAACCCACCTCTCCTAGGCCCCACCTCTTAACTCTGTTAGAGTGGCAATTAAGTTTCCACATGAATTTTGGAGGGAACAAATGTTCAGCCATAGCAGTTGCCATGTTTGTGGGCTCATGTTTCTCCCTAGAAAGTCAGCATGGCTGAAGTGGAGTAAGAAACAGGGAGAGGACAGGAGAGACCAGAGAGGCGGAAGTCAGGATGAGAAGCCAAGTACTGTAAAAGGGCCTAGAGAGACTGTGAGCCGCTCAAGAGTATGATCCGATTTACACAGAAAGAATCCTTTGGATTCTTGCTAGAAAGGAGCAAGAATAGTAACAATGAGATGAGAGGGTGCTTTGGCAATATCCAGTGAGAGAAAATGGCAGCCTGGATTGGGGCCATGGCAGTGGGGAGCAGGGAATGCAGGCTAGTTTTGCTGGTTGGACTGAATGTAGGAGATGGAGGAAAGAGAAGGATCCAGAATGGCCTCTGAACTTCTGCCTAGAGTATCCAGGAGGTGTGGTGCCATTTTCTGTAATGGCGAGCATTAAGTACTTTTGGTGCTGGGAGCAGGCGTCAGAGTCCTGTTTGGAACCTGTTATATTTGGGGTGCCTATTAGACATCCCGATGGTGACTTTGCAAATCCAGGCAGTCAGGGAAGGCCCAGGGCTGGACATATATATTTAAAATTATGGATGGTATTTGTAAAGCCTTGAGATTGCAAGAGGTGGGTAAGGAGAGGGGCTAGATAGAGAAGAGGGTACAGGGCTAATTCTGCTGGTAGGCCCCAGGGTGTTCTAGCACCTGGACCGCCCAAGCCCAGGAGGAGGGAAACTGACTCAGTATTCGAGAGCCACTGCAGTAGGTTCCATTCAGCTTGTACCCACAGCAAAGTTTCTTACACTCCCATCATCCACAGCTCTTTCCCATAGAGTCGGTGAGCATCGCGGACAATATGGGCTCTCTGCCCAGAGATTCTCTGTGATCTCTTGTGACTGTTAGCCTGTCCCAGGTATTGGCTCTATTGTTCTCTTGCTTCTTATTGGTAGTTCCTAGGGCTCGTGATTTAAAGGACATTCCACAAGCCACTTGATCTTTTTAGCTCTACATAGGTATGCCCGGGGTGAAGGTGTACCGCTAGACAGGCATGCCTTGGGCCCTCCTCTAAGGGTTTGTAACCCATAACTGAAGGCTGTAGGGATATGAACACTGGGCTCCTTTCTCTCAGGTCTAGATAACACAGGAACATAGTTTTAACTCTCTAGCTCCTCTGTGACCTGAGCCTGAAGCTACCCCCTGGGACTTTTTGCCTTTGCACCCCTGTCCCGCTAACATGTTATTGGCCTCTGGGTGACTTAATTGCCCTTCCTTTCCCCTTTACCCATTCTGGATTATAAATGTGAATATAGTGTCATCCTTTTTAAAAAAAATTTAAAATGGAATTTAATTAAATATTTTAAAGCATTCCCAACTTCTGAAAAAAAAAAAAAGTGTTTGTTTTATTTGGGGGGGGGGCGGGAATAGTTTCCATTTTAGCAGCCATCAAGTGGAAAGGATTTTTCTTTTGATCCTAAAGGCAATTGTCTGTTTCTACTGATTCTGGTGAATTTGTTTCTTGTTTAATTAAGTGAAACATTTTCCAGAGAGTTATCTGTATTCACTCTTCCAGCTCACAGAGTACTTGCAAATCTCAAAGAGATAAAACGATTAGGTGATTATTTCCTGTTCACACACCCAGTCAATAAAATTATGGAGATTAAGCAAGAATAAGACAGGATGTTTAACAGGGTTTGATAATGGTAAACGTGATCTCCCTCCAATGGGAGGCCGTGAGCTTCCCACATCTTCTCAAGCACACAGTGTCGCGTCCTCCATTTCCAACTCCTCAAACAGCCTGTAGCTGTGGGCTGAGCAGGAACCGGAAGCCCAATAGCAGCTGGTGTATCCTGGTGACATTTTCTTTCTTTCCTTGAGGAAAAACCAAAATTAGATTCTACTCATTTTGACTGGATGTCCATTGATTTTAAGACTTTGGGGGGACACTTTCATATCTACATACAAAAAACCACTGGGGTCTTTTGCTTTTAAACATCAATTGACAGATTCTCTCCATTTTCCTCACTGTCTGCCCTCCCTCTTCCTTTCGTTTCTTCCCTCTTTCTTTAAGGGTAAAGAAGACGCTAAATCAAATTTCTACTTGAACTACTCACAAAATGTGTCCTAGAGTTCATAAGTGGGTTTTTTCTTTTGCTAGTGATAGACTTGCATGCCTGTGATAGCCTCTTTTACCTTTAGCAGCCTCAGTCTGAAATTAGGCATAGTAAATATTCAATAAGTATTTGTTGAATGAATGGGTCTGTGGTTTTATATCCTTGGCACAATCTTAACATATCAATACTGTGCTTTGTTTTGTACCAGTGATGAGAATCTTGGTTCCCAACTCTTTTTAATTCTGGTTAATGATTTGTCACAAGTATGACTACATTGGGGAAATCCTTTTTAAATCCTTAAAGTGTCTTTGTGCATTTCAGAAAATTAAATTTCCCTAGATTCTGTTGCAGCGAAACACCCATTGGCACATTGCTTTGCTTCTAAATACCTCTGAAACACTTGGAGTTTGACCATAGATTTCACAATACATTGAGGCATGCAATTATAAGACAATAATACATGCTTTTTCATGCCTGAACAACACATCGAAGTTAAACTGTGGCATTGAAACACAACTGAATTTTTTTTTTTTTGCATCTAATTGAATGAAACCAACATAATATCGAGTTTGGTATTTTGCTATATTATAAGAAGTATTGTATCTTTAGATTTCTATTCTGGAAATGAAAACAATTGACCATAGAAATTAGTTAAAAAGCAAAAAAAAAAAGCAAATTGTTCTCTCTTGATGAATGCATACTTACTTTTGGAGTGGGGATGAGGAGTAGTATTAAAATTAATACCAGGGAAAGTGACCATGACCATCATAAAAAGCTTAATTCAGAAGGTTGAAATGGCTATTGGACTGTCTTTCTAGGCTGGCCAGCCTCTCTGCCAGATGCTTGGTTGAGTATAGGACTGGCCCAGGCTTTCCAGAAGGGCGTGTGAAGCTCTTCAGGTAACTTTAGGAATTTTGGAAATACACCAGGTTTCTGAATGTTACTCTTGACTCTGAGCGGTTATTTATGAGTGGGTGGGACTTTCTCTGAGACTATTAGGGACATGACCCATGATGACAAAGGAACCCTATGATTGGCAGCATATAATTAAGGATTCTTGTTGAGAAAGGCAAGTGAGACAGCATAAAAGCATCGATTGAGCTTTAGGTATTTGTTCAAAGACGTACATTTTGGAAACCCAGAGTGGTCATACGTTTTCTGACCTGCAGAACAACACCTGTGGTGCACTAGGTCGGAATCCTTGAAATCAAGAACACCCAGAAAATACAGGCTCAGGGGGCCACTATAACCTATGCCCTAAATATATCCAAAGCTCTTTGAAGAGGGTATCCATGTGAACACTTTTGTTCTTGTATTAGAAATAGATATGAGTGTTTGCATGTTAAAATAGATGTTGTAAGTGAGTCTTGTCTGTATTAAACGAGAACGTTCTGATTCACCCAAACCAACTCACATTTTTCCCTCCGTTTTACTTTGAAAGGAATGCGATGTTAATTCTGGGGCATTGATGGTTTACAATGCCTGATCCAGACAAAAAGGTGAAGACCACAGAAAAGTCAACTGATAAAAAACAGCAAGGAGTCGCCAGCAGGTAATCCCATATGCTCTTTACTAATTATTAACCAAGGCAGTGACTATTGAGCAGATTGAATAGCTTTTTGAGAAATAGTGTAGACTCCTAACAACTGCTATTGCGGTTACAGTGCCCACTGAAACATTTGACCCTTTGCCGAGTTCCAAGGGAAAAATGGTGGGTGTGTCCGAGTTGGTCTATAAAGCAGGCCTGCAAGTAGCAGTGTCACCAGTGGGTAATATGACCCCATTCACCTGGCGCTTTCTGTTGGTTGACGTTATGGTATTTTCTCTCCTAGGGACTATTCAGATCTTAAAAGACTCCGGTGCCTTTTGAACGTTCAATCAAGCAAACAACAGGTAGTTTTTTTTTTTTTTTTTTCCAAAGAATGTGCATGATTTAATAAAAGAGAATCAGGTGTTTCCAAAGGGATCCATTTAACATCTTTACAAGCACGATATGTCCAGTTTCTTTGTTCTTCGCCTGTCTTCTCTTGCTTCATCTGGCTGTTTCTCTCGTTCCTGGTTCAGGCCCTGCCAAGACTTGGCATCCACAGCTTTTTCATCCTCCTCTCCTGCGGGCGCCTTGCCTTTCTCCTCTGCTCATCCCCAGGGATCCTCTCGGGCAAAGCTTTTACTCTTCACTCTATAATCAGCAAATTCTTTTATTGAATGCCCAAATCGGCCTCTTCAGAGCTTCATGGAAATTGGTTTTTCCAAAGCACGGTTACCTCGTTCTCCTCCTCCTCCTCCTCCCTCTGCTCCTGCCCTTGCTGTTAATGGTGCAGCTCTTGGGGTTTGGGGCTAATCATATCCCACCAAAAAGGAGGGAGGAGTGAGCTTTGGTTATTTTGAACAGCAAAGGAAGGAATGGTACTCCCACTTTAATTTATCTCGAAACTTTTCTTTTTGGTTTTGCTTCTATGAAGACTTTGGAAAGTCATGAGATATTAGAAGCTGTTCAAGGAGGTTTGGGAACAATGTAGCAATGCTAATAACAACAATTACAGCTATGTAGCGCTCACAACTAGGAAATGGCAGGGATGGAACTTCAACCCTCGTCTTCTGGCTCCAAAGCCTATTAAATTATAATTGTTTAGGTCAATTTTGTTTAAGAGCCCATGTGGTTAATAATGCCAACCTTAAGGGTTTTTGTTTCATCAACCAAACTTATCAGAGAACTATCGAATTTTTATGTATCTATTTATACTATAGACTGATTCTCTAATGATTTGATGGCATATGAAGGCCGAATAATGATATAGTTAGGGAACATTTACTATGTACCTGTGCTCTACCTGCATTATCTTGCTTAATAATTTACAAATGTCCTTTTTACAGATGAGGAAACTAAGGCACAGAGACATTAAATGATTTCCAAAGGTCATAGTTCTGGACCCAGGCACTCCCATTTTGCAACACGTGTCTCTAACCATTGAGATATCTTTTATTTATTTATTTATTTATTTATTTATTTTTGAATTTTAATTTTTTAGTTTTCTTTTTTTAATTATTTTGGCGGACACAACATCTTTGTTTGTATGTGGTGCTGAGGATCGAACCCAGGCTACACGCGTGCCAGGCGAGCGCGCTACTGCTTGAGCCACATCCCCAGCCCTGAGATATCTTTTAAATGTGTTGGAAAATAAAATTATAGTTAAAAGAAATTGTTGGATGAGCATCGATTTGCAGTAAAAAAAAAAAAAATACCTTTCCTCTGTGAGCCCATTCTTCTCTGTTATTAATGCTACAGCCCTGGGGGAAAACTTTCTTCTTGTGTACCTATTTCAGCAGTCACTCTGCCCTTTGTCTGTCTCTTTACTGCGAAAATAATCTTCCTGGCTCTCTGCTCACAAACCCATGCTTCCTTGGAGAGAATTTTAAGACTTTGGTGGGACATTTTTGTTTTGGTTCCTCTCATTGATTCCCATTGTGCTTTCTGTGATGTAATCCTAATACCAAAGACTTCTATTCTTTGTTTTTTACTATTCTCTTCTCCCAGATTTCTTCCCTATGAGTTCTAACCTATTTCCCAAACCCACATCTCATGATACCACCTCCGCATATCTGCCGTGCCCAGAGTGACCACTCTCTTCCCAAGACAGCTCTCTCACCAGCAAAGCATTATTTTTCCTCTCACTTTGGAAAGTCTTGTCCACATATCTTATTTCCTAACAAGATGGACATTTCCCAGTGCCAGCAACATTGACTTCTCTCTCTGGTTCACTGTATCCTCTAATTCAGTGAGTTTGGGGTTATTTTTTTTTTCCTAACTGAATTGTGACACCCCATGAATATGTACAAGCCCCTGATCCAGGCAAAAGAAATATGATGGTGGTGTCTTGGTTCTTGTTGGTTTTTTAGCTCAAAGGATGAACTTTGAAGTTCATCCTTAATAGTTCTATTTTGTCCCCGTTCTACACTTCCTTCTTGACACCTGGAAGGCTTAATTAAAGTTAATTTAACGATTTCTCCCTTTTAGCCAACTTTGGAATTGGCCATCCGTGGTCTGACACGTTCGCATGGCATATCTTTTTGTTAAATATTTCACACAAACAGAAATGCATATTTGTAATGCTTGAATTATTCAGAAAGTAGATAGCTCTAAGGAAAACAAAATGAAAATCACTGTCTTCAATTGGACGAAGGTTCCCAAGGCTCACAAGATTTAGGCCTAATTCTGTTTATAAAACTTTCACACATTTTGTAATTCTGAACTAATAAGTGTTATTCTGAGTACTTATTCTTATTTCATAAAATAGTGTGGAGAGATTTATAGCAGAAGGAATATTCTGGAGAAGGTAACTCGAGAATTTATTTATACGTTTGCTTGTTCCAGAAAGAATGTAAGGAGGCTGTAAGTGTTGGGAGTGGCCCCGGCTCCAAAGACTAACTCCCCCATCCCCCAAGAAGAGCCGTCCAATGGTGAGCCCTGCTGGCTCACATGATCCTGCCGTCCAATATGCATGAAGTATGATGGGTTACCCTAAATCAAATTAAAAACAGGACCAACAATAAAAGTAAAACAAGGGCTGGGAGCACAGTAGAGTTGGGATAAGGCAGAAATGCCCAATAAAATATGTGAGTAGTTCTCAAATTTGGCTCTGAGATTTTTAGCAGTCAATTTGGAAAGGAAATTTGGGTTTAGTTCCCTTTGCCTTGATTTTTTGTTTTATTAGGTTTTGTTTTGGCTTGGTTTTTTTTTTCCCCCTTTCTTTCTTTTTGCAAATGGGTCACGATGACCAATTGCTGGTTACAGAGGAAATCTACCCTGTGGGTTCAGGCAGAGTTGTAGAGAACTGAATGCTTCTCTAGCTGGATCTCTAATGAGCCAGGCCATGTCCCTCATTGTTTCGTTGTGTTATGGGGCTCTGCCTTTGCTCTTTGTCCTGACTGTGTGCTCCCTGTGTCTGCAGAGCTTGCTCTCCACGTTAGCTACACAGGTACCTTCCAGCTGAGCATGCATTCGCTGTTCTTTTCTACCTTCCATTCTGGTCCATAGGGCCTGAGCTTCCTCCTTTATTTTCCACCTCGACAAACCCCTGTTCACTAATTCTGCAGTGTGTCTCTCAAGCCTGCTTACTGTCTGCAATTTCCTACCACCTGGGGGACTATAAGGTCCTTGATGGCAGAGGCCATGGCTGTTCTGATGACTGTATATCCAGATTCTCATACAATGTCTGGCACACCATGTGTCTGCAACAAGTGTGCTGATTGGGTGAACTCATCTGGAGGTGGTTTCAGATGAGTTAGTTGTCTGGGAACGAAATGGGCATTCGTTCAACCACTTCCTATTTGAGTATCTACTATATGCCAGGCTTTGTTAGAGGTGACGCTCCCTACAGGGTGGCTGAATTCAAAGCCAGAACGCTGATTTGTACACTGGACATTGTACTAGACTGTGATAAGTGTTGTAAGAGGAGAGGTAAGCCCTCCCCAGGAAGGCATGGATAAGTGCTCACCAGGAGGCTGTTTGAACTGAGCCCTGGAACGTGATCAGTTACAGGCTGCACATGCCCAGGCATGGAGAGGTCAGATACCCACAGGTCAGATAACCAGCAGGTCTGAGGCATTGACGAGCCAAGGGAACATGCTCCAGGGTTCTGAACTCACATTGCTTTCATCTGAAGTGGATGGGTTGTTTCAAGGTTCCTATTGTTAAGCTGTGGTCTTTCCAGGACGGAGGGTGGGTAAGAGAGGGTCATAGAAAGGGTGAATATGATCAAAGCACATTATGTGCATGTATGGAAATGTCACAATGAAACCCATTAATTTGTACAATTGATATGTGCTAGTATTAACAATAGCATTGAGTTCCGGGTTCAACAAAAAAGTGTAAGTTGCACCTGTGGATGCCAAGTTCATCTTATCCACTGAAGCTCCATGAGTTGATTCCCAACCCTGGCTGCCTGCTTTGCCCACCAGGGCGATGACCGCTGGACATGGAAACGTCCTGCCCTCTCCTTTGGTGGCTTATGAGTTTGCTTTCTCTGTCTTGGCTACTTTTCTCTCTTGCAAACAGTATTCTAGGAATCGTGCCAGTGGCAAGGGGATCTGAAATTCCTTGGACCTGGAAAACCTGCTTCCTATTTTCTCTCTGTTGTAACATTTCGTGTTAACACAGGAAAATTTGCTTGTTGCTGTGGCTTTGTGTCTAATATCATTTGGGTCATCAGTTCAGATCTGAAAAGTCACCTAATGACGCATTTGATTTATTTGGCAAATTCATCTGAACAATGGGAATAATTATGAGGATTGAAAGAGTATTGGCAAAGAGGTAGAAGTATACCTGGCACATAGCAAGTGCCTTATAAATAGTAATTCATTTAACTTTCACGATGACTCTGACATACATACATACTACTTCTGCTACTAGTACTACTAGTATTTTTTTAAATATATATATATATTTTTTTTTAAAAAATATCTTTATTTATTTATTTTTATGTAGTGTTAAGGATCGAACCCAGAGCCTCACACATGCAAGGCAAAAGCTCTATCACGGAGCCCCAGCCCCAGTCCTTTTACTACTATTATCATTTCTATTTTAATGATGTAAAAACTAAGGCACAGAGAGATTAAGAAAATTTCCCCAAATCATACAGCTAGCTCATGGTGGATTGACTCCCACAGAGCTGATCAGAGAGTTTGTTCTCCTAACCACTAAACAGTGCTGCCTCCCGTGTCCATGGCCTATTGTAGTTTCACTGACTGAACTGAAATAGAAAGGTAAGTTTTACCTGATGGAATGTTTGATATGTTTGTGTGTGTCGTGCCAGGGATTGAACCCAGAGCTTCTTGAATGATAAGCAAGTGCTCTACCACTGAGCCACACTCTAGCCCTTTTTATTAATATTTTGAAAAGCCAACCGTGGTTGGTGTATGAGGAAGGATTTTTTTTTTTTTGGTGAGCTATAAAACAATGTCCTTTTTAGAATGTATTTTTTCTAGAAGATTAGCACCTTTTTGAGGAGTCAGGAATATTCTCTTTGGATATGGAAATAATGTTTCCATGTTGATTTCTATCAACTATCTCAGTGGAATAAGACAACAAGTGCTTTATTTTGTCATTATATAGAATGTAATCATTTATTGAAAATGTGTCTTTTCTTTTGTTCTATTACCCTCTGTTTACCTCATTTGTAATAATTAATTATACAACACTCTTCACTTGTACTTTGGAAAAGATATTTATCCATACCATGCTTAATTTTATGTGGTATCAGAAATAAATCTCAGGTTATCTCAGATATAGTAAGTATTGGTAAGAGAAACTATTTGAATACTGATAACTTGACAACTTATTATATGAGTCACTCTCCAGTTCATTCGGTACATGGAGACATGCTGTTGTGGTTAATTTAAACAGATTTTCTTTCTTTTTCTTTTCTACTAGGTTTTTAACCCAGGGTGCTTTACCACTGATACAGGGTCTTGCTAAGTTGCTGAGGCTGGCTTTGAATTTTCGATCCTCCTGCCTCAGCCTCCTAAGTTGCTGGATGTCCCTGCACCTGGCTAAATTTTATTTTTCTTATGATGAACTTTTATAAGTATTTTAATGTCTTTCATAAATACTATTGGATGTTCAGATTGATTAAAAGTGATAGATTCTCACTTATCAACATATCCCCACTACCTGGTAAGCGGTGTGTATATTTGGCTAATGTGGAAGATGGAATGCATATGTGATGACTGCTTCTCAGTCTGGGCACATCACACTATGCCAGAGTGATCTCCCTGGACCCAGAAACTCTCCAGGTCCACAGCTAAAACACACAAGAAGCTTCAAAATCCCCTGATGCCTAGGCCTCATCTCAGACCTGTGTCCCCAGCATTTCACCAAGTGCTGGGTAAACAGCATTGAACCAAAATGGACAAGTTTCCTGATATTATAAGCAAGGCAATGCCAGGGGTGGTAGTTTATGCCTGTAATCCCAGCAGCTCAGGAGGCTGAGGAAGGAGGATCCCAAGTTCAAAGTCAGCCTGAGCAATGGTGAGGCGCTAAGCAACTCATTGAGACCCTGTTTCTAAATAAAACACAAAATTGAGCTGGGGATGTGCTACAGTGGTTGAGCACCCCTGAGTTCAATCCCTGGCATCCTCCCCGCCCCCACCTCTGCCCCTCCAAAAAAAAAGGTAAGCAAAGGAGACTGAAAATAATAAGTCACCATAAGATATGACAAGTAGTACTGTCAGCTATGAATTAAAAATAGTGTAAGATAGAGAGTAAATGTTTTAAGTCAAAGATGCTCAACTCTCAGAAAACCCCTCCAGTTAACAGGGCTGTCATCTTACTTATTGACCTGGAAAATCCTTGTGCTCTTTGGCCTCCCCTCTGCCTCCCCCCATTTTGTTACTTTCTTTATCCTGTGCTGAATTGTGATCCTCACGCACGTACTCTGTGCTTCTATTTCTGTAGCTTCCAGCCATTAACTTTGATAGTGCCCAAAATAGCATGACGAAGTCTGAGCCCGCCATCAAGGCGGGTGGACACAGAGCTCGAGGTCAGTGGCACGAGTCCACAGAAGCTGTTGAACTTGAAAATTTTAGGTAAGAAATCTCCTGTGCCTCCAGCAACCTGTTCTCCATAGCTTCTTAATGTGTATGACAGGAGCTACCATTTAAAATCTGTTTTCAAAATTTCCCATGGAGATCCTCGGTTTAATCTTTTTAGTTAAGAGCTTCAACCATTCCCAGCAATAATGCATAAATAACAGGCTTAATGGTCACAGGTGGAACTGACCTGGGACTTTCAGGACACTGTGCTGACTTACAGTTGGCATTTGCTCAACGAGGAAGTGGTTCCAGGTTGTGACCTGGCCAGGCCGATTCTGAGCTTTGCTGAGTCTTTGGTCAATCTACATCTTTCCAGTAATGAGAAGAAATAAAAGAATCAGTTGCTGTGAACAGATGTGGTGGCTAAAAAAAATGTGGTAGTCAAAGCAACCAGGTTTTCAGTTGCAGGGAGAGCACCTCACCTGCAACACTGCAAGTGTCAGCCTGTGTTGATTTCTGTTGCCATGTAGACCTCCGGGAAGCTGTGCATTCTCATGGGCCACTCCCCTTCCAGGAGCTGGTTTTCTCAGTTCTACAATGTGCTTAGGTCATTTGGCACTAAGTGCCATGTAAATAATGAATGGCATGAAATATTGATATGAATATTCTAGAATGACCATGTATTTATTGGGCCTCGATTGTTTTTCCTATCACTCAATGAATTTAATTAGTCCAATAATCCGCATGACATGACGTGGGTTCATAGTTTTAAAATATGTCTTCAGTGAGGAACAATAAATGGTTATTGTTACTTATCCAGTTTGCCCGTGTCCATGTACTAAGAAATCAGGACAGCCCTCCCCTAGCTAGGGTGGGGACTTACATGCAGGCTAATGACATCTAAAAGGCTTCAAAGGCAGATCGTTACAAATGATGACACAAGGTTATAGAACTTGCCTTCAAGAGGGTATATTCATGTAATTCCATCTTATTTGGCCTAGATCTCAAAACTAGCCTATTTTAATATGCACCAAAATATTACACATACCACAGCAACGTGACCCTTATGTGCATTGTCTTTTATCCTCTTCTAGGATTAAAGTGGAATGCAATGAGGCTATTTTTAACCTCTTTGATAGGCTCTTACATCAGCAAAAAGAACCTGGAATCTGAATATTTCCAAAATTGTATTAAAAACACATATACATGAAACATAAACAATAACAATCAAGCAGTCACTATGGCTGATGGAGTGTAGACTGTTAATAAATTCCTGTTATCTACAAAGAAATACTTGTGACCACCATTGGTATTGACAGCTAAAGTGGCTGGTGGGGGTTGAGGGTGAGTAGAAAGAGAATGGAAGGGATTCTTGTTTGCTGGTGCAATCCATCTAGATAATGGCCCCAGACATTTTTTTTCTCTCCATATTCCATTTTTTTCCCCTCTGACCAATTTTAGCTGTTAAGTGTTTGTAAGGAACAATTTAATTAATATGGTAGGATGAAAGGCATATGCTTGACTATATTCTTCATCGTTAATTTTGCAATTGAATTTCTAGTTCCTATCTTGCCTTTAGCAGGGTTAAATCTCAAGAATCCTTCAGTAGTTGCCTTGAGTATACAAGGTATTTGTGTTGCATTGGTAACTTTTTGAGACATCCTAAGTAATTTTTATTTCAAAATGCTCCTCTGTTTGTTTCATCACAGTATAAACTACAAGAATGAAAGGAATTTCAGCAAACATCCCCAGCATGTGTTATTTCAGGAGATCTTTACAGCCTTGGTGAAAAATAGACTCATATGCAGGTAAGACTGTCCTTGGAAAGGTAGACTGTTACCCAAAAAAGGCATATTTCATATATCTTGTACACAGAATGTGATTTGAAGCAACTTACAAGAACATGTAATGAGAGGATGAAATAGAGCAAAGGCTATTTAGAAGGAGGCAAATAAGTAGGTATTGCATTTAATCTCATTAATATCACTCTGGTTATGTCCTGCATCTAGCTGAGTTTGGTGACAGGTAAGGTAAAGTGGGAAGACACTCAAGTTACATTGTTTTCCTTAATTTCCTTATTTTGAATTTGGATACTCAAGGACATGTTGGGTAACACCATGGATGACATCCTTCAGGTACACTTTTGCAGTTCATACAATTGACTGATTAAAGGAACTGCCCCAGCCTTGACCTTGAAGAAAGAAAGGATGAGTGTGTGCAACACCCAGTCACAGCCCCCTGAAGACATTGCTTCTCAGGACCAAATCAAATGCTGTCCCCTTTGTTCTTAGACCTATCCTAACACAGGTGTGGCAACTGGGATGTAGAGGAAGGATCAGTTGATACATACTCTGGATTCTCTCTCATAAATATCAGGGCATTCAGGTAGCCTTCAGCTGGCCCTAGAGCTGTCAGGATTGAATTTTTTTTTATCATTCTGAGGTGCTTCACAGGAGAGCTGGTTATGCTGCTGATGCACATGAAGAAGGCTCCCAACATCCTGTCATGGTTGGACCTGCCCTTTAACCCTTCCCAGAAGATCCAGTAAAAATATGTTGATGAAGAAACTTAAATCTTCTTCAGTGGGACTTTGAGATATCTGACTTCTGTCTTCGTGAGAAGGAGAAAAACTACTCCTATTATGAAAAATAAAAATAGGAGTATTAATAATTTAGTGCCTGGATCAAAATAACCCTTTGACTTTGCCCCATGCAGTAGCTGATTTTAAGGAGAACGGTGTCCTGATGCATCCTCCATGGAGAGCCAGCTACTAAATGTGTGACTAAGTGGTGGCCTCGTGACTTGGTATTTTGGATGGGATCATTTAGTGTTGCATATGAAATTACTGCAGAGTGACTGCCAAATGGATGGACTTTCCAAGGGATGTCCATAAACCATTTGTCAGGTCTGTACTTTGGGGGAAGGCAGTAGATGCAGAAATTGTTAGGGGAAATAATTGGGCAAGGGAGAGCATCCGCCAATTAAAAAAGATCCTAACCGTTCTGAAGTCAAGAGATGTCTTATTCTTAGTGATTAATGGGGCATGTTAGGTTGGATGGATTACTTTATTGTAATATGAGCAGTCCCTGGAAGTCTTCAAACTAGGAAGAGATAATGGTGAGTCTCTTTGCTTTCATAGTACGAGAAGGAATTTAGGAATGTTGAACATCAAGAGCATCCTTTTATGTCATCCTTTGGCTGCTGAAAGATTGCTGTGTTCATTTCTGTTCTAAAAGAAGGATTGGGTAAAAGATGGCTTAAGTACAAAGGTCTTCCATTGTCCCTCACCTCATGCAACCTTGCTAAGATGGCCAGGACCATCTTTTTATTTATTTTTTTTCCTTCCCCTCTAACTTTAGACTTACATCTCAGGGCTTTTTCTGATATGGCTTCCTATTTCCTTCCTTTGTGAACATCCAGTTTAGTATTGTATTTGTTTTGGATAGAAGGCTTAGATTTGATTAATCAAACCAACTGATGCTATCACAAATTACTGTCTGTAAGAAAAGGAAGAATGGTGAAGGAAGAAAGGGTGACTATATAAAGATGAATAGACGTGTGGTCTCTGTCTTCCCAGGGACTCAAAATCTACTCTGGTCAGAAATTGCCCACTACCCCAAAACAAGGGAAAATTGGTAAATATATACCATTTTTATTAAGCACTAAAGGCTGGATGAGATTGGGAGTGGGAACTTCAGTCCTCTGTCCAGTTCTGGTTCTGGACAAGACTGGGCATATTTAGGATGTTAACACTACACAGTCTTACCCTGAACTTATGACTGATTGGAAATATAGACTCCTCAGCACAATGTGACCCCCCCCTTCCAATCCTTCCCTCAATTTCTACCCAATTGATGGTGGTGGTGTTTCTCTTCTATTTCATTCTCCCCACCTACAGTCCTCCCCTCCCCTCCCCCACACCCATGGACCCTTCCTTTCTAGGTACTTTTCCTCAGCTTGACCAGTAATGACTCCCCCATTCTCAGAAATGAACCTGCCAAGTGGCATCTGAAACGAGACAGGACTTGTTAATCCAGAGTCAGATAAGGTAACAGTGCAAATGCCTCATGGTAAATCTGAAAGGGCAAGAGAAAGTCCTGCCCGTGAACCCGAGGTTGCACAATGCCAGCTAGCTAGCCTCAATGCATGGCAGGACATGGGAAGAAATTTTCCTCTTCTAACCTAACATCATTTGTTTACAGTACAGCCTGTTATTAATAGATATGTTCACACTTTTCCCCTCTCATCTGCTTGAACAGGAAAATAGAAAGGGTGCCTGGGCTCCAGGACCAGGTTGTTATGAGGTTGCATAGGGGAAGTAAAAGTTGTCACAACGTTGACATATTCTCTGTTCACTGGCCACTTAGAAAATTGACTTCTGTATGAATAGCTCTTCTATGTATCTCTTTCTCTGTGCTCTCTCTTCCTTGGTTTATTCTTTGCTGAAGGCAGATTCTGTGATACCAGGCAAATACCATTTAACTTGTGAAGTGAACTTGCACATCTGGCTGAGGACGTAGGGTTTCGTGAAGTTATTGAAAGTGATGGTGCCTAACTGACAGAATCCGACAAGTGAGGCCCTGGCGGAGTAGGTCACTTGGCAATCAAAGAAGAGGGCATTAATAAGGACGATGACAAGATGGGACATTAAGAATCTGTTTAAAATAACCAAGATCAGGAGAGGCCTTTTCGGTTTCTCTGTCTTTTGCTCTAAGCTTTACCACTTTAAATGTAGAGATGAAGAAAATTAGCTTTAAGAACCTAGGATCTCATGTAGTCCTTGAGCAAAAAAAATGATGCCTCCTCTTCTTGTAAGTGAACTTGGAGCAAAAGCCTAGTTCTTAAATTTTATTTCTCATAAATGTTATTTAGAGTCTGTCCTGCATTTAAAGTGCACACACACATGCATGTGCACACATGTGTGCAAAAAAACCTCAATTTGGGGCTGGGGATATAGCTCAGTTTGTAGAGTGCTTTGCCTCACATGCACAAGGCACTGGATTCAATCTCCAGCACCACACACACACACATACACACACACACACACACACACACACAAACACATCAAAACAAAATAAAACAAAAAACCCCACTAAATTTTATAGAGGTGGGACAGACTTTGAAGAAATCCAGTCTGTCTCATTGGGTAGATGAAGGAGCTGAAAATTTAAGTCCAAGATCCTAGGGCAAAATCTTGGCTGGTACTCTTTATTTTATGCCTTTCTGATTCCCTGGTTTCTTTTTTTTTTTTTTTCTGTGTAAATAGTTTTAATTGTGTAGTTAATCATCAATAGCCACTCTTAATTAGAACATTTCTATATAATGAAAAGTGTTCTAATTTGTGATACACTAATCAAAGCACATTTGAAAAAGTTTTTTTTTTTTTTTTGAGTTTGCACCAGGGAAAAATATCCCTTTGGTAGTCATGTTCATGTTCATTCTTTACTACTGCTTGCTGCTGCTTCTTCCAAAACTCATCTACTTTGATGTCTAATAGGCATGAAATTAAAATGTTCCCACCTTCCCAGAAAAGAACTGCTTGTTCTTGGACCACCAGAGCCAGTTACAAACTTGGCCAAAGGAATAAATCAGAGTTTGCTATCAGTATGCAAGCTTCTGAGAGACAGGCAGTGAGTGACAGTCACATTCCAGGAACTTGAGTTCCACAGCTGAAAAAATCAAGTGATGTCTAAAGACCCTGGGAAAGTCCGCCTGTCACTCAACTCCCCGTCAGTTCACTCAGAGAAGCTGAGCCTTCTATAGAAGGGCACTCTTCCTTTCTAAATGCATCCTGTGTTTCACATATTGATTGGAAGACTCTTTCCTGGTTGGGTATCTCAACAATAACACCTAAATCCAGGACTATTTGATTTTTCTCTTGACTCATGAGAAAACCTGAGCTTCAGTGCTCCCCACCTATCAACCTGGTCCATGTTGCCCATCATCTCTTGCTTGGACCATTGCAGTAGGCTAACTTGGTTCTCTGCCTTTGATGCTTGGCTCTCTTAAGACTCTTTTCTCAACAGTGCATCTAGAAATATCCTTTTAAAATCTATCGGATCATGTGAGTCTTCTGCTCAAGGCCTTTCAGTAACTTCCCAGAATAAAAAAATTCCAAGTCCCAGCTCCCCTTCTAGGAGACCCTTCATGCTCTGGCCCCTGCATCTCTCTGACCTCAACTCTATTTTTGTTCGCTCCGCTCCAGTCTCACCAACTTCCTTGCTATTCTTTGCACAATCTCCAGTGCGTCTGCCTCAGGGGCTGTGTATTTAACTGTTCTGCTCTTCTGAACAAGACTTTCACAAGGCTCTCTTCCTCAATGCAGATGCTAAACTTACCAGAGAACCCTCTCTTGAGTATCCTGAAATAGAACCCCCAGTACTTGATGCAACTTTAACCTTTGTTGTTCCTCCATTCACCACCCAGCGCACATTCTTGTTTCTATTTGTTATTGGTCTCGGTGAGTGCAGCCACCTGTCCTGGGCTGGACTCCTGGGCTATCACAGTGCTTGGCTGATAGCAGGTGAGTAAATAAATACACACAGGCTCCTTGACATCTTCATCAGTCATGCAGAAGAAGGGACCTATAGTTCAATCCCTTCTGCTCAGAATCCTTGCGATTTCAGGGGCCGGGTGGTCCACTGGATGGGTTTCTCATTGGGTGGAGCACATTCAGGGCTTGGTTTAGTGGGAAACACAGTGCAAGGACCAAGAGACCACTGAGAATTAGTGAAACAAGTCTGAGGATTCCTTAAGTAATCATCTGTGATGAAGTTCCTCCTACACATTCTTGCTTCTGTTAAGTTTG